ACCACACACTATAAACTGACAAAACTCCATCATCTATAACTAAAGGTTGTTAATGGCAACAGCCCAGCTAATGTTTCTCTCCTGGATGGTGTCACAGCCATATAATAAAAAATACATCTATGATCAATAATTGTAATAAATGATAAAAGTTGTATTTTATTCATTATTTAACTCTGAAGCTGTTCCTCTTTTACCTTTACAATATTTAAATAGGATCATAGTTTTTCTCTGCTAGATTTGAGGTGTCCAGAGCTGTAAATAGCTTTTTGGTTCACTTAATATATCATACAACAAACTTTTGACTTGTTTCTTGTTTTATTCTTTTGTTTGGTGCCCCGGTCCCACCATGCCCCCCCCGGTAAATCTGGTCTAGAACCGCTACTGAACGCCGCATGGATACAGAAACTAATGCAAAAAGAGTCCTAAGCAAATATTTAGATTAGTTAGTGAATCTTTTTATTTCAGATGATATAATATTCAAATTTTCTGAGACACAGAATTCAATAACCTGTAAGCGATAACCATCACAATTACAAGATATAAAACGGTTGAATTATTTCACGCAATGTGGAAAAATATTAGATTTTCTTTCTTACAGAGAGACAAAAAGACTCTTTTTTTCATTAAACTCTTTACCAGAAGAAAAACTAGTTTGATATCTTTTATGGTTATTTTGGAAATGAACCAACGTTAATAAAATGGCACCATGTGTGGACCATACAACACTGAATATGAGCAGAGAAAAAAAAAACATTCCTTATATGCTTAACACCATCTGCTGCAACACCCTTCTGCTCCATAAAAAGTGTATTACTGATTGGAAGCGTCCGGTATAATTGGCTGAGATAAAAGCTTAAGTCAGTGGGCTGTTATGGCACCGAATGGAGCCCAGCAAAGCTGTGCAAACAGCTCAGACATAACCTACATTATCATCCCCATCATTCCTGGGCCGGGCTTGCCAAGCACAAGCCGGTGCCTCTGCATTTTTATGGCACCCCAGAGCGGATGGAAGGCACGCTCCTGTGGGAGCCAGGAACCATCCGCTAAATCTGATTCTAAATAAAGACCATCCGTTGCCACAAAGGGAGGCGTGACGGAGGGATCCACCTGAGGCGCTACCTGCCAAATGGACTCAACTCGCCTTTACACCAACCAGACAACGTTTTGGTCCATTTCTCACTGGCGTACATGCTGTTTTTCCATCTAAAGAGACCCGGGGTGGGAAGATGACGGATCCGATGCTTGAAATCCACAGAGGGCTTCCACAACAGCCAGCTCTGTCATCTGCAAGGCCCAGGAAAAACTCAGACTGCTACTTAGATTAGTTTGCACAGGGAAGCTCAGGACTGAAGACTGTTTGCATGATTGAGACAAGAAAGAAATTTAGATATTGGTTTTTCTGCTGCAGTTACTGTTCAGAACAGCAGAGCCCTGCTTATTGTAGGTATTATGGTCTAAAAAACATGCATAAAATAAACACACTGCTGAAAATGTGAGTCTGGGAGGTAGATGGGAGATTTGGGTAATAGAGATAATGACTGCTGCTTTGCTTTGTACTGTACGTGTGTGAGAAAATAAAATGGCTTGACTGTATACGGAAGAAAATACTACATCATCCGAGCCCATGGCTCTCAATATGGCATTAAGTCATCAAGAGTATTCACTAAGTGGGTTTAGCAGGCTGTAAAAATCTGCCCATATGGCTGCGTGCCTGCATGGTGGTTAAGAAGATATTTTTAACGCTTGAAGCTCCGCTGTTGCTGGTGTACTAATGACTAGCTGATACTTCAACACCACAAGACAAAGCCAAGTGACTCATGTAGCCAATTACAGACAAGTAGGCTCCACACTTGGTTGGCAGCAAAGTGCATCCTCACTTAAAGGTCGAAACAGGCAAATTGGAGTCTGGGTAATGGTATACGGGAGCTGAAGCAGAGCACTGTGGAATAGATGAAAAGCCACGGACCAGTGATCAGGGTGTTCCTCTGTGTTTTAAAGTATTGTTTGGACTTTGTTGGTTGTGAAATTGGCACCAGGAATTCATACAAGCATAAAACTATTTTTTTGTTTATTGTTAATGACTGCGGATTAATATTTACAACCTAACAGATGTGTTGTTAGAAAAATGGGTTGTCTAAAATCCATTTTCCCTACCTTTTAGGTTATGATTCATACAGTTTGAGAAAATAATATCAACAAGTTCATATTGGAGTATTGTACCTGTTCTAACCAGGTCTGTAAATAAATTTTTTTTTTTCATGGCAGCTCCTGTTCTCCTGTTTTCTTTTTCCTTTTACTTCATTGTTGAATCGTAAAGCAGATAGGCCTATGTTGTTTTAATTCAAGTTTCTCAGTTAGGGTCAATATATTCTCTGAAAAATGAGTCATGTTTTCCCAGAACTCATTCACTCATTCATTTATTACGCTTGGTTAAACCCTTTTTCTTTGCTGCCTGTTTTTTGTTATGTTGGGTTACATTTGTTTTAATTTTCTTTACAAAGATTTGAAATGAATGAGCTAATGAAAATAAAAAATATCCTTGATGTATACGGTAATTATATGTCATCCTTGTTGAATCAAAGAAAACAATCTACTGAATCTCATCTTACAGGAAATTTAACGTTGATTTAACTAATTCATTTAAATCAAAAACCAACCCTGCGTTTTCTCTTTTTTCTATTGAGCTATTAATAAAAAACACAAAAACCTTTATTGAAAAGGAAGACTGCTTTACAATCCTGACCTTAAAATCCAACATGGCTGCCATAGCTACAACGGTGTAGCTACAGTAGGGCAGCGATTTATTTGTAATTCTGTCAAGTCCTATCTTTTAAAACCTCACTCTTATTATTGTCAGGCTCTGTTGATAAACATATCAACTAAGAAGACATTTTATGCAGTTAGCATCTCCTGCTAGTAGTATCTAGAAGCACATGCTAACCAAGCTAGCTAGGTAACAGAGTAGGACGTTTAGTAGGCCACATTTATTGGAACTAGTGGTAAAGTTGTCTAAAAAAAAGGCCAAAATTAGTTAACATTTTAATGCAGTAGTTCAATGAAATTGTTAGAAAAGTTAAACTTTTAAATTAAAGCTTTTTTCTTTCAACCTAAGAAGACATAGTTAGAAGATAAATTGGTTTCAGAGTAATTAGCACCGCAGCTGTTCTTGATTTAGACTTAACAAGGCTGGAGGCAGGTCGTAGGGAATCCTGGGTCCCCTCCTGTGATCGCTTTTCATCTTACTGCAAATTGAACACTTGCTGTTTTTAAGTCCTCTCTTAAAAGAAATTTTTCTACTCGGCATTTTACTGGACATTTTTTTTTATTTTATTACACTGTCACAAGTACAGAGCAACAATGATAACTCTTTGAATTGACCCATCCCATTGGGGATCAGCGGGCTGTCATTGTATGACGCCCGGGGAGCAGGAGGTTAAGAGTCTTTGTTCACGGACATTGGCGGTTCTAGACAGGGGCCAACAGGGGCCAGTGCCCTTGTAGATAATGTCCTGGTCCCTGTTATGGCCCCTGTACCGAAGACATAATACTAAAAGAAATTCTAATGGTGATATTTGTGGAACAGACATGGTTTCTGATAGGTCCTTTGGGTCTATTTCATTTTTTTCTTTAAAAAAATCTGTTTTTGCTAATTATTTAAAAACAATAAGGTGAAAGCTTCAGTCGTATTAAGATAGGGTCCCAGTTTTCATCTGCTAAATGTTTTTTTTCTAAACAAATAAAAAAAGATACTGTAATTTTTTCAGCTGAAATGTTCAATTTTCTTGAGTTCTAATTCTGATTTTTATAGAAAACTGTAATTTTAACTTTAAGTTTAAAAATATATAAAATTCCTAAATTATGCATATATATTTACCTAATGTTCCAAATAAGACCTATATGTCTTTTACATATCTATATAGCTAAAGTTGCCAAGGGATTTTCATTTTGCTTTTTAACGATAATCCAAATGAACATTTTCAAGCCAAAAATAAATATTTTCATTTGGAAGACATATTATTTGAATTAAACCTAATTGAATGGAAATTTAACTTCATGCAGTTCTCTTAATATATTTGAATCCCTTGCCCTGTGTTTTTGCTTCATGCTTTTCTGTGCCCCCATGGAAACACGGTGCCCCCCGTCCTCCTGGAACATTTGGTCTAGAACCGCCACTGCTCTGGGACCCAGAGTGGCAGTCTGTGGGAGTGGGGCTCGAACTCAAAACCTCAGGATTCCACGCTCTATTCCCTAACCACTAGGCCGCCACTCCCTCAAACTGGGCCGCCAGATGTTTCTTCCTATTCATCTTCTTTTACTCTTTTATTTAATCAATTTAAATATTTAATTCCTTTTTTTATTTTGTACTTTAAACAATGAAAAACTGTTGTGGTATTTAAGTTAGATCTGCTAATCATAAATTTGTTTTATTGGCTTTATGTGTAGAGCACTTTAGAAACAGCGTTGTTTTTAAAGTGCTTTATAAATAAGGCTTCATTGTGTCGTATTAATACTGGTCTTCTGGGGAGTGAGATGTTTGCTGTACCATTACTGGATTTATTTGGGAAAAACACTCCAACGTAATTCTAACTCTAAAACAAATCTGTTTGTAAAGATTGTTCCTGCGGCACAGTCATTTTTTTGATGTACTGGAAATAAAATAAGTCAGAAAAAACTTTCACAGACTACATGCTCACTTTTTTTGGAAATTGTGTGTAACAGAAAATGTCACACTCTCTCAGCGTCTGTCATTTATCAGCCTTTGGTGCTGGGTTGCCATGGCAACAATATTAACAACAGGGAAGAAACCCACATTCGCATATACACGCAAAGAAGTTAAACTCCACCCACACACTGTATTCAACGCACCAAAAGTAATAAAAAAACGAATTAAAACATAAAGAATTGTTTTAGCTGGAGTCTGGATAGAAAGTGATACAACATCAGTCCAGATGTGACATTTCACCTGTAAATGTTAATGATTTGTTGTCGCAGTGACTCACCGCATGGTCCTTTGTGCTGGATGCGGATTTGCTTCTGCAGAGTGCAACCCATCGCCCGCATCTCACAGGGGCTGCTATAGGTTTGGCCATCGGACCCGCACACCGGGTCGGAGATCTGGGGGCAGGCCTCGGTGCACTCGCAGACCGGCTCGTTGTTCTTTACGACGCACACCGCCCCGTGTTCGCATGTCTTCATCAAGCAGGGGCTGGGTGAGTTGAGATCTGAAGGTGGGTGGGCCAAGAAACAGAGAGCAGAGTTAGATGGCTACAAACGAAGCGGGACAGAGAGGAGGTTGGAGAAAGGTCAGTGGAGGAGGTATTAGAAGGGCAGGTTAGAGTTTAGCTTCATGGAGTTATTGAGTGTTAATAAGGGATTGGGTAGAAGTAATGGAATCTGCTTCCTATGTCATTTCCCTGCTTTTGTGCCACCCTCACGCTGAATCTTTGAAGTGTCCAGCGAATCCCCTGGCACGAGGACAGCGGATATAGACATGGCCTACAGCACAATACAGATGAAACAGACAGCTAACAATAGTTGCACAGCAATTTTCTTTAGGCCGCGTAAATGGCCGGATTAATTGACGCTCCTGCTGAGTCCCTTCAAAGGCGGCCATTTGCATCTCAGTGAGAGCCGCCGTTTGAGCCAAAGCTAGCTGAACTGACACCGAGGAGGGAGAAGGGATGAGACAGTTTAAACCAAGACAGGCAAAACATGGAGAACGGAAGAGAGAGAAAAAAGAAAGCCTAAACTGCTCAATAATACAAGAACAAAGAGATCTCCCAGGTAGAAGCAGATATGAAGCGTGAACATCAGAGAGAGGTGTCTGCTCTAGTCTCTCCTGCTCAAGCAAAAACTCCAGCAAGACTTCATTAAACTGAAGGCTGGATTTGGTGTCTATGATTCTCAGCGGTGGCAGATGGGTGTAGGCTGGTAGACCAGAACTCGATCAGGAAGCTGAAAACAGCTCAGGAAATAAAAAAGAAAATGCTGCCTCGATCAACTCTTTAGTTAGACAGCTTTTAGACTCCATGAAAATGTGTGTGTACACTAAGCGGGGGGTTCGACAGCATTCATTAAAACTGTACACATGGATTGATGGTGCGCTTCAGGTAGGCGGTTCTACATTTAAGATCATGAAGGAGCCAATGATATATCATCTTTAAATAGGGATTCTTTCCTAAGGCTTACTGGACAATTATCTGATCAGTGAGTGGAGACGTTTCCACAGGGCGGAAGATTAAACACAAAGAACTCCTTCCACCAATATGCACCAGGCCAACAGAGAGGAAGGACATTTGCCCAGCTGGTCTCTGGACAATTAGGCCTCCCAACCAAGTTGCATAACTACAACCATAGCAACAAAGCCACTCCTTGCCGCAAGTTAAAAAACACATCGATGGTTGTCACTTTCAGAGCAAAGCTCCCTGGTTAACACTTCTTAAAAATCAGATACTGTCTAATGTTAGATATACAGAAATAATTTCTAGATGGTCAATTTCTAATGTATCAATCATAAGGGGAAATCTAAGAACGAGTGATGAACTGATGTAATTCATCTATGGAAGTCCAAGAAGAGTATTGGTGGAAAAAAAATCTTGATTTCAGAAAAAAGTATAGAATATTTGAACATTGGATTAATCAAGTTATCATCAAACAACCAACATTGAGGTACAATACTTTCAGGCTCTGTATGCCAGTAATATGCCAGCATAGCACTGCTTTAGTCGTAAAATATGGTGGTTGTTAGGAATCCAGTTTGTGAGGCCTGTTTGTGTGTCTCATTTTCCACCACCAGGAGGTGCCCTGTCTTCACTGTTCCTCCATGCACACCTGCGACTTATTGGATCATTATCTGGAGGAGTATTTGGGCAGTTGACTGTCACTACCTCGAAGCCAGATTGTTGGCCAGTTTTGGGTACTCTAGCCAAGCTGAGTTTAGCTGAGTCTAACCTAGCTTTATTTCTCTGAGTCTAACAAGTCTTTTGTCTTTTGCCCCTCGACAGGAAGCATTTCTGCGTACTAGATTCCTGGACCTTCTCCCCTCTGGAAGGAAAAAAAAAAACGAGTTAACACTGAGCAGGGGAAAATCTCCACATGTTCCGTTCAAGTACCCATCAGAAATTCGAGTGACAGTCCGTTCCATTACTCCTCCGGGTCCAACGTTTGTCTACCTGTCCGCCCTCCAACATGTGCACTATTTACTGGTTTTACCACACAGACTGGATTCAAGGACTAACCAGGACTTTCTCAAACATGAGTGCCATACTTGCATATCTAAGTGCTTCCTAGATTCCTGCGGTCCCTGAACTTTCCTTTTCACTTCCAGTTCAGGGTTATCAGCTCACTGAGTTCAAGATCCAACACCTGTATGACTCCTTAAATAAACCTGTAAAACTTTTCCCTTGTTCTCTGAGTGGTTCCTCTGCATGTGGGTCAGATTCGTAGACCGATCTCGACAGTGAAGATTCTCAGTCACTACCCGATACTGGTCTATGCCTCTTCCTTCCACTTTCAGAGACATAGACCAGTATTTGGTCTTTCCAAAAAAAAGTTGAAACCAAACCATGGACTTTGCTTTCTAAGTTTGAAGACATTTAGCATCTAGAAACCTTTCTCAATTCAAAATGTCTGGAGTAGCGTTGAGTCCAGGCTTGATAGAGCAGCCCTAACCCTTCCTAACCGTACATGTAGTCAATCTCAGAGGAAGCAAAAACCAGCTAGAGCAACAGAAGCTCACCTTCCAACAAAAAACAATCAAAACATTACTTCTTAAAAGAGCTAAACTACTTTTCTACAAACAGTGACATTTCTTTTAAGAACTTCTTAGTATATATTTGTAGTCTTTTCCTAAATGTTTTAAGCAATTTCCTCACGAAAATCTAAAAAATCTTCATAATTCTTTCATAAACTTTGATTAAATAAAGAGACTTCTCCTATGTGACTCTATGAAGGAGAGTTTTAAGTTTAAACAATGTTGCTATATAAATACGCTTTCCAGTCCCCTGCTTGTCAAACATTTAAAGTTAATTAGAAGATCTGTTGGTAATTACAAAACTAGATGCTTCACAGTTAACTCATAAAGATAAGCCCATTTCCTCTCAACTCTAACTTTGGTTTTAGATTTGGGTTGAAGGATGACGGCGCTGTCATGGAAACAGGCCGCTTTAATGGTGCCACCCATTGCTCCATCATTATTGTGACCATTATAACATTAGATGGCGTCAGAGGGGGGGCCAACTTCACATGCTCAGAGCCTCATGATTCATTTATCTGCTAAATTATCAACTGATAACACAGACAATTAGCTCGTTTGACTCTGATTAAGGCGACAGGAGGTGATGGGGAACCAATGGGATTTGAGATAATCATCGATATCAGATGAACATCTTAGGACCAATCATGAGAAACCATTCATCTGGATCACAAGTGAGACCGAGCTGAGGTGTAGATAACATAAGAGAAAAGGGAGGGGGGATATGAGAGATTTTCTTCTTCTCAAGCAAAGTCTGTTCAGGGTGCAGAAGTGAACGATGCAGAAAAGTTAGTGAAAACCCACCATTGATTTGGGTGTTTGGACACCAAGCTTCTGTTTCACCACAGCTTGGAGGTGCCACGTAAATATGAAAGCAACTCAGCTCTGCTTAATTTGGTTCTGCTTCTGAGACAATTGATTCCCCCTGATCCCATTTCAACGATCGCACGGACTCGTCTGTGTGTGTGTGTTTGTGTCTGTGCAACAGCCTGAAGCTTGTGATCCAGGCTTAACCGTGCAACCTTGGCCTTCACAAAGAAAGTCTGCCGGTCCACTTCCCAAGGACGGGTTTGTGGTAAAGCAGAACTGCAGCCGCAGATAACGCCTTTGTCTTCCGCTCTCTTTGTTTCTCACTCTGGAACATTTTACAAAAGGCTGTCTTTATTTTCTAAATCTTTTTTTAATCATCTTCAACCTCTGGGGACAAAAAAAAAACAACTGGAGAAAATGAAGAGGTAAAAAAAAAAATCTCTCAAAGTCTAGAAATGCGTTGAGGCTTAAACCTGAAGCTGTCTTTTTGTTCTCGTTGGATGCAGCCAAAGTCTTTGAAACGACAGCCTGCAACAACTCTCCTTCATTCTCTGGTTCTCGCCCAAACTACATGATTTCTTTTTTTTTTCTTCAAAAACAAAGAAGAAGTGATCTCTATATGTGAAAACCATCCTGACAGTTAAATGGAAACATCTGTATCTGCCCAGCAGGACGTCTGCAGGGAAACAGGGATACATTTTTCACTAATGAAGGATTGGGCTCTATGCCATTTCTACCAGAGTATACTTTACATTCTGAGCATCACCTCAGCCCTGATCCTCTCCTGCAACTTTCTGTTTTAATTAGTCTGGTATTTTAATGCCGTGGCCTCACTTCAGCACTCGGTGAGGATTACTGCAGGTCGGGCCCTGGTGTCACTACCCCAGAAGAAAGGCACGAATTCTGATTGGACTCCTTTCTCTGTTGTCCTGCCTGAAGAACAGCTGCAGCCCGTTTTTTCAAGAGTTACCTGCAAACTTAAGTGGCTCCTCTGTGCAATTTCTAAAGTTAAACAACTCGTCTGTAGATTCGTATGAAGGCTCAACAGTCCCTCCGCTCTCCTGGGCAGGAGCCTGGCAGGAAGCAGGCGTACCCAGTTAACCCCACCGTAACATGTTGGGGAAAACGCCGGGAGATTTATTTTGGCGAGCGCTTCCTTCCATCTCCACTCAGCTCATGCATATGTTAATTGGACTTTTCTACCCCTCCCTCGGGTGTGTGTGCAATTCCAAATGGTTCCCTGTGTTATGCAGGGCAATAAGTCGGTGTAATCCAGGTGACGCTTTGCAGCAGCCAACTGGCAGAGAAGAGTCACCTACAACTGGAGCACGGGGACCCCAATGAGGGGCCCCCCCTCCGGTCTTCACGTGACCCGCTTTGATCCGACTCCCTTTGCTTCCCTCGTATTAAAACATTTATGTATCATATTAGTGGAGAGAATAGGAGGTGGGGGGGGAAAGACTGTATTTGCATATAATAAAAGGCATACCCGCAGGCAGTGTCTGCCAACCACTGAACACTTATCACAAGCAGGAGGTAAATCGGAGGCTCTTTGTGCTTTTACAGCTGGAAATGTGCAACTCTTCAAAATGGAGACAAGCATAAACAGCGTGAAGGGGCGGGGAGAGGAGCATCGCGACACGTGTCTGTCAGCATCGG